TTGTGGGAGTCGGATCTGCACAGTTAAATTTGTCAAGGGTGTTTAGGGATTATATTCTATGTCGCGGACTCCCTAGAACAAATACTGAAAATAAAAATTCTTTATTGCTGTTACCTGTTAAGCTGCGATCACAAGAGAGTTTCTCTGCCAAAAATTCTGAACCCCATTTTGGGTGAATACAATGAGCTATATATATAGCTTTATTAAGTAAATGGGCCAACCAATAAAATGGGTTTGACCCATAATTTCATTAAGCCCGTTTTGATTATGGGTTTAATGTTATTTTGGGTCTAGATTCAGACTGTGCCCTTATAGACTTGATCCGATTTCATTAGAACGCTGCAGAGTTGATCTCGTCGTTAGATCGATCTCATAGGGGACAAATCCGACCCCTACAAAGCTTTGTCGCAAAAATTAGATACTGTATAAAAATTATTATTGGGAATTGGAAATGTACGGAAAATAAAATTGTAAAGAATACAAAGTTATCCAGCTTATAAATTATCTTCTATATATTAATTGAGGAGATACTAACTAAAAAATCTTATATGTCGTTCAAATAGCGATTTATGGGACAAGTCATTTAAATTAACCAATTAGAGTATTTCAATTAAAATTATATGTCATCGTGGAAATTTTTACATATTTTTATTATTTTATAACATAAACTCATTAATACATGTTTTACAACTCTAAGTTGAACTAAAGTAATATTAGACTTACCAATTTTTTTGGTGGCAATGAAAGTCAATTTTACACTTAAAATATATAACATTTGTATATATTTTAATCAATTTTATACATAAAATATTAAAATTAATGGTATCAAAATACGTTTGATCAAAATTTAATTTTATTATATTTATGCACAGTACATATCATTTTTACGTTATAGATATTATAAATCATATGCTTTGTTTTTCAAAATCTAGTCCTCTTTATATTAATAAAGGAGCCACTAGATGAAAATTCTAGGTGTCATCCTATGAGGGTTTTAAGAAACATATCATTGAATTTAACCAATTAAAGCATTTCAATTAGAATTATATCACATAGTGGAATTCTTTATATATTTTCATTAATTTAATAACAAACCCGTTAATACATGATTGACAAATTTAAGTTCAATGTAATATTTATGATTGACCATATGATCATTTTTTATATAGTAACAATTTTTTGTAATTATATTTATTAAAATATTATATACTGTTTATATATGTATTTAGGTCAGTATATTATACTTATATCTTTATTATGATGTAGTCTATTATACATATTTAATCATATTTACAAATATTTATATATTTTATTATTGAAAACATATACTGTGTTTTGTTTGTTATGTCCGAAGAATTCATATAAATCTAAAATTTATTTGCGTTATCG